TTAAATATTTCGAAAATATATAATATATAATTTTTGAAAACATTTTTGAAAATACATATTATATTGTTTTGAAAACTTTTTTTAAGTATATATAATATATAGCTTTTAAAAACATTTTGAAAAAACGTATATATAATTTTGAAAATTAGTTTCTAAATATATATTATATAATTTTGAAAATTAGTTTTTAAAATATATATATTATATAGTTTTGAAAATTAGTTTTTAAAAATATATTATATAGTTTTGAAAATTAGTTTTTAAAAATATATTATATAGTTTTGAAAATTATTTTTTTTAAAAGTATATATTGTATAGTTTTAAAAATGTTTTTAATTAATTTATTAATTTATCCATTTATTTATTTATTTATTTTTTTCATTTACTTATTTATTATTTGTTTCAGGTCCAGGATAGGGCCCAAGCAATCAAAGAACCGGGTTTGAACTAGCCCAATAGCATATTAGGGTTTCTTGCTTAGGGGAGTTGCATAGTCAGCGCCACATAGAGCAATGGACGGTCACACATGCCGAAACGGCCGGCCGGCATCCCGGGACTGACCCATCCCGGGATGACCGGTCATACATGCACGAAGATCTCGGAACAGTCCACCACGTCCCGTTATTCTCGGGATTACAACGGCCGATGAAGGCTTATAAATGCTTTGCAAAGCCACGGTTACGGGGGAGGAGGAAACGAAACCAAATATAGAGATCATTGGCCAAAACAGAGCCAAACCACCATCACCGGGCATCAACAGTACCCAACAGGATCCACAAAACCCACGAGGACATCACTGAACAAAATCATCGAGACCCACGTCGAACATCAAACACAACCAGACCAACAGACAACACAGTGTACCAAAACCATCACCGGTACAACACAGCCAAATATCACAACACCAAAAACCACGAACCATAAGGCAAATACAGAAACAAAACCCAAAAAAACAAATACCAAAAAATACCGAAGGTAGCCCCGATCGAAGCGTTGGAACCGAGAAGAGCCGGTCGCCAGAAGTCGAAGAGTCTCATCGGAAAAAGGTGGGAACCGAGGGTTTTTATCTTAGATCTACGCTTACTGGGTTGTGTTTTGGGGATTTAGAGGTTGGTTTTGGGTTCACGGTGCGGAGGAGAGCATTTTGTGGGGGCTCAGATATTTCGGCCACCGCCGGCGGTGGCCGGCACGGTGGCCGGCGCGGTGGAGAGGCCACCGGATCTTGGCCGGGCTAGAGAGAGGCGAGGGAAATTTCATTCTCTCGTTTTTAGAGAGAGAAGGGAAATGTAGAGAATGAAGAGGGATGAGGGATTTGGGGTTCTGTTGGGGCTTAAATCCAGGAATCAAAACGACGCCGTTTTGAACCCCTTATCACAGTGTTTTTCAGAATTTCGGGGTTAATCTCAGCTTTAGTCCTCCTCGTCTGGTAATCTCGCACGCGTGTCCCACATTTTTGGAGTAACTATGATTTTGGTCCCCCGTATGTTTTGTACATTTCATTTTGCCCCTGAAAATCATTCATTCTTCGATTTATATTGAAATTGAACCTCAAATTTGATTTTATTTCAATTTAATCCTTTTTATTATTTCTATATTTTTATTTGATCTTTTATTTTTAGCATTATTATTATTATTCATTTGTCTTTGTTTATTTTATCTCATTTTATTTCATCGGCTTATTTTTATTTTTTTCCTCTCTATTTTATCTATTTTTTTCCTTTTTTTGATTTAATGATTATTTTTCTTTTTTTTATTTTCTACATTTTTTCTTTGATCTATTCAACATTTATTATTCTTTGACTAACATTCCCGATCTCTTTTTTTTTAGAGAAATTCCCAATCAATCCAAGGTAAGTAATTTGAATCGAATTTCTAAATTTCAATTTAAATTCCAATTTTTCGCAATTAAAGACAACCGACAAATTAATCGGTACCGAAAGGGTGGTTCAAGGGTGCTAATCCTTCCTTGACCGTAATCGACTCCCGAACCCAACACGTTTCTGGTACGACGCAGATCAGGTAAGATGGTGTTCGGCCCACCTAAATTCGTTTTAAAGTGGTCGGTGGCGACTCCAATCCACAATTTTCAAGTCGAAGCCCAAGTTTGGGCCCAAACCGAAAGACGGTTGCAACATATATATCATAAATAATTAATAAAAAAAAGTAATAAATTTTATTTTATAATTATTCAAAAAATAAAAAAAAAATTAACATAACCTGCTCAGGAAATGGACGTAATAATGAATTTGAGTGGTCGAGATGGAATATAAAGTAATATTGGGGTGAATCATAAGAGGATGTGGTGGGATAAAGCTGTTAGTGTCAGTGTGTCAGCTGTGAGTACTTAAGTTTAATTAGCGGTGAAGGGTTGTTTTGGTCTGACTGCCACTGCTGCCACCCCTCTACTCAGCAATATCCTTTGTGTCAGACGAATTTTATCACGAATTTTGTTATTCCCTCGTCTCGTTTTAGGCCATTTTTCTACTTCTAAACACGTAGTTTTAATTCAAACTACATATTTAGTATCCAATTATCACTTGTATTTAGGGATGGTAAAAAAATTTAAATCCGACAGGGAAAATTGAATTAAACGGGGATGGGAAAAAATAGTTTATACTAAACGGGGATTGGAGAAAAATCGTTTATGTTAAACGGGGACGGGTTTAATAATCTCCGCCCCGATTACCCGGCCCAATACCCGGACCGATAAATATTAAAAATTATATATATATATAATATTAATAAATTTAATTTAAATTAAAAAATATATATAATATTTATATATTTAATTTAAATATATATACCCGGCCCGATACCCGTTTAAATAATCGTTTATGCTAAACGGGGATATCCGTTTTCCTGCAGTTTTCCCTGATTACCCGATGGGGATCCCCGTTTAAATCTCCGTGGTTTTTTAAGTAGGGACGGATACAGGTTTTTTAAACGGGGACAAGGGACCAATACACGACCCGAACCCGGCCCGTTGCTATCCCTACTTGTATTCAGTTTTAGTCATTCAACTTTTTTTTCAAAATCATTTCTAATAATTAATTTTAGTTTCATTTTGGTCATTTTTCGTTAAAATATTAGTGATAATACTAACGTAATAGCATAAGATTAGTTATTTATATAAACTAATACTTGAGAGTTTTAAAATGTATAACTGTAATGAGTTTAAGAAATATATACTAAATTTAATATATATAATTCAATTAAAGGGTCAATTATCAAAATTTCAGAACTTTTTATTTGAATATCTTGGAATATTATATATGATTATTTTGTTGTGTTTCGGGGGGGGGGGGAGCATGCATTAATTTCAAGCCGTCCACTCATTTAAGATTACAGATTTTATCCAATTTCAGAGTGAAATCATTAGGTTTTAAATCTCTTCCAAATGACATTGTATTAATAGGGTAATGATCCATTACTTGTTTCTATTTTTGGGATCAAAAGGCTTCAGAGAACATTCCAACTCATATCTCTTGATGGAAGCATCCATAAACACAAATATTTCGGATAAATGTTCAATCTTCTCAAAATTTGTCAATTTCAATTTTTATTTTTCTTTAAAATACACTTTAAAGTTTTATTTTATTTTTATTTATTTTTTAACAATTCTTACCTAGAAAAAAGGGAAGAGGATTTTTGTTCTTAATAAGTTGTAAACTAACAACTTAAGAAAGACAGAATGTGTTAACTAAAAGCTTTTAATAATTTGATAAGGTATTCAATCATTTAATCTGATTAACCGACCAAACTGAATTACCTAAAATTCATTAACCGGAAATTTTTTCTCTTTAATCGTTAACGAACTCGATTTTTTAAAAAAAAAATTATTAACGGAACCAAATAAAGTTCAATTAATTCGGTTGGTTAACCAAAACTTATAAATTATATATATTATATATTTAATACTTTATGTTAATTCAAATAAAATCGAAGTTTAAATTATCTTAAGACTAAGTAATATATAAATAAAATATAAAACATTTAATCATTTCAGTTAATTAAATTAATTAACCGATTTCGAACCAAGTTAATTGATAACATAATCTCAAAAAATATCATTAATCGATAACCAATCGAGCTTAAAATTAACTAACCGATTAATAAAAAAAATTGATTCGATCGGTTAATTCAATTAAAATCGAAGTTTGAACACCCCTACCACCTGCACTAGAGATCATTGATCAATTTAAATTCTTTTTAAATTACAATTACAATAAAATAAAATATGTAATCAATACAACATATAAATGAACTGAGAGATAATAAGATATATATAAATTAAAGTATATCGATAATTAAAATAACTCTAGATACATAGAAAAATAAACAATTCTAAATAAAACTCACACTTAAATAAAAATAAATTGAAATTAACAACTCAAATATAATAATTATACATGATAAAAATATAAATTTGAATATTTCAAACATCAAATTACCATTACAACCAATGGCTGGTAGATAAAATTTATCCAAATTTAAGTCAATATTTATACTTGTTTAACTTTTCCAACAACTTAACTAGCACTCCACCAAAGACCATCAAGAGACGAGCTATAAACCCGATTGCCGATGCAATCCAATCAAAGAGCAGTAAACTTCCGAGTAGTTCTCTTGGCAAAAAGTGAAGGAAACAGGGAAGCTTCAAGACAAAAATATAGTGGAGAGATGGCTTCTTTGTCAAAAAGAGGAATAAACCTCGAACGAAGACAGAAAGGCAAATCAGGATATGTAAAACTTCTAAAACAAGTAGAAAGTGCCCAATGAACAAAACTCCTTCTCAGCTAAGTAGAAATTGTACCGTCTTGTTAATCGTAAAGGAGGGTGGACTGGGCACCAACTTCTAATAATTATTAACCACGTACTTTATTGTCCAATGTCATGTCATGTCGTATATATATATATATGTAGCAGCTAGACAGACGGTCATTTTTGTGAAGAACTGCCAAGGCTGAATTCATTAGTTAGTCAGTGGGAATTACTCTAATATGGACAGCGGATTAGCCTTTGATCTGCTCCTTGGAGTTGGTAACGACTACGAAAACAAAATTTTCGACCTTTCATATGCGGCATTCGCTGAAGAGTTGCAGCTTCAGGAGATCCTTAAGGAGTCCATGATCACTTCTGAAAATGCAGCTTGCGAAGCCATAAAGAACCCTGGATGTCCTGTTTGCAATAGATTGTCCTGCATGGAATGTACTATCCCCCACCCCACCAGAGCTCAGCGGTTCCTCAAACCAGTTCAAGGTCAGTGTTTTCTTACTTGTTTTTAATATACATATATATATTTACTAGTATCAGCAATTTTGGTCGACATTTATTTAAAACAAATCTCCAGCAACGAATTTCATGCAAAAACCAGTTCATTGTGCGAAAGCGATCGAATTGCTGGCACTGGTAATACTGAGGATCCTAACGGTAAAGGTATAGCCATAGATGATGGCGGGTTGCTGATCTCCAAACGGAAATCAGACAGCAGAGTTGGAAACAGAGCTGACAAACGGTTGGTTGATGTCGAGCACCCTAATCCTTTAAAGGATTATGATTATGATTCCTTGAACGATGATGATGAGTTTGATTCCGACGACAGTCAAAAGAGCCATGAGAGTGGGGAAAAGAGTACATGGTTCAAGGAATTTTTAGAGAGAATGGATGCTTTGAACATTAAGGAGATTGATGAAACTCTGTGGCACTGTCCAGTATGCCAAGGTGGTCCTGGTTCCACCAAATGGTACAGAAGCATCAGTGACCTGATAGCACATTCCAAAAAGATTGGATCGAGAAGGGTGAAGTTACATCGAGAGCTTGCAAAGCTTCTAGAAGGGGAGTTGTGCATTAAGGGAACCTCAATTCCTCCTGCTGGCCCTATATCTGGTACTTGGAAAGGTTTAACAGACGATGCAAGAGATCTTGAAATAGTTTGGCCTCCCCTGGTTGTCATTATGAACACAATGACAAGCAATATTCAAGATGGAAAGGTGATACGAGCAACCATTATTCTTATGGCTTTTAACAGTTGAATTAATGACGCTTCGTTCATCTAGTATGCAATGTGCAACTTCTTTCAGTTCATTGGCATGGGAAATCAAGAACTTCTTGACTACTTCAGCTCGTATCCGGCTTTAAAGGCTCAACACTCCTATGGTCGTCAAGGTCACCGTGGTTTGAGTGTCTTGATTTTCGAGAAGTCAGTGGTAGGTTATCTAGAAGCTGAGAGACTACATAAGAATTTTCTCGAGCAACGATTAGGTCGATCTGCTTGGAATTCTTGTACGAACGAGGTCCTGTCCGGTGGAGAGCGTCAACTTTACGGTTTCATGGCACTAAAGGAAGACTTAGATGTCTTCAACCAGCATTGCCAAGGTGCTCTGTCACTCATACTGTTGAGGGCTTCAATTAGTTGTCCTGGATTATTCAACTAACATGCAAAAGATTTACACTTGCTTCCAGTTCATTTTCTCTTCAAGTAACATGTTATTGTTATTGATTAGGTAAATCCAAGATCAAATTTGAGGTAAAATCTGTTAAAAGAAGTGTAATTACAGAAAACGTGCTCCATCTCTTTCATTATCTACAAAATAAGTTTACAAGACCAAATCCTTTATATACAGCCCACCAACCGTTACAAGCCTAACTAACAATCTAACTAATTAATAATTGCAATCTAACTAATTAACAACAGCCTAACTAATCAAATAACATAAAACTAACACCCCCCTCAAGTTGGTGGTTAAAGATGTTGATTAACCCCAACTTGGAACTCAAATATTCATGTTGTTGAACTCCCAAAGCTTTTGTTAGAATGTCTGCTTGCTGGTCTGTTGTCTTCACATACTCTGTTTTAATTATTCCTTCTTGAATTTTTTCTCGAACAAAATGGCAGTCAATTTCAATGTGCTTTGTTCTTTCGTGGAAAACTGGATTTGCTGCTATTTGAAGAGCTGCCTTGTTATCACACATCAACTTTGCTGGTCCTGTGTTGTTAAACCCAAGCTCATTCAATAAGCCTGTTAACCACACTATTTCTGCAGCAGTCATGGCCATACTACGATACTCTGCCTCTGCAGATGACCTTGCAATTGTGTTTTGTTTCTTGGACTTCCAAGATAGCAAAGAGTCCCCCAGTTTTACACAAAAACCAGTTACTGACCTCCTAGTCATTGGGCAAGTTGCCCAATCTGAATCACAAAAGGCTTGAAGTTGGCATTGACTTTCTGCACTCAGCAACATTCCTTGACCTGGACTGCTTTTGATATACCTGACCACCCTCAAAGTTGCATCCAAGTGTAATTTCCTTGGTTGCTGCATGAATTGACTCAACAATTGTACTGAATAAGCAATATCAGGCCTTGTGTTGGTGAGATAAATAAATTTCCCAATCAATCTTTGATAACTTGACTTGTCCTTTAACAGCTCGTCTTCAGAAGTCAACCTCTTATTTTGTTCCAAAGGAGTTACAGCAGGCCTTGCACCCCGCAATCCAGTTTCTTCAATTAACTCCAATGCATACTTCCTTTGACTTATAATTATTCCCTTTGTTGATCTTAACATTTCTAAGCCAAGGAAATATCTTAATTCACCAAGATCTTTCATTTTGAAATTTTTATTCAGAATTCCTTTGAGTTCTTCAATCAATCCATTGTTATTTCCAGTTATCAAAAGATCATCCACATATATAAGCATTATGACTACTTTGCTTCCTTGTGACTTAGTAAACAATGAGTAGTCAAACTTGCTTTGAGAATAACCTGCCAACAGAAGAACCTCTGTGAGTTTCATGTTCCACTGCCTTGAAGCCTACTTTAATCCATACAAGGATTTTTGCAGTCTGCACACCCTGGTCTCCCCCTGACTGCAAAATCCTTCAGGTAAGGACATGTATACCTCCTTAACTAAATCACCCTGGAGGAAAGCATTGTAGACGTCCATCTGAAAAAGTGGCCATTGATGAATAGAAGCAAGGGCCAAGACTGTTCTAACAGTGACCATTTTTGCCACATGTGATAAGGTCTCAACATTATCAACCCCTTCTCTTTGAGTGTATCCTTTAGCAACAAAACGAGCTTTAAACCTCTCCACTTCTCCATTCGATTTATATTTGATGCGATACACCCATTTACTTCTAATGGGAGTCTTATTAGAAGGCATGGGAACCAATGACCAGGTATTATTAGATTCCAAAGCTAAAAACTCCTCATTCATGGCTTTAATCCATTCAGGATTTTGAATGGCTTTAGTATAGGTCTTAGGCTCAACTAAATGAGATATAGAAGAAAGGTAAAGTTGAGTTTTAGTAGGAAGACGAGAATAAGAAAGAAAGTTAGAGATAGGATAAGTACCTGGAAGAGAGGAAGATTGGTAGGACTGCACATAATCATGTAACCAAGAAGGCTGTTTTTTGACCCTAGTAGACTGCCTAGGGGGAATAAGAATGCTACTTGATGAAGAGCCATTAGAAATAATGGGTTGAGGTGAAGGTTGAGGTGAAATGGAATCATCTGTTGAAACTTGAGGTGATGCAGAATGAGGTGAAGAACCAGAAGGTATAAAAGATTGGGTGTGAGAAGGTATAATCAGAAAATCAGAATCAGAAATGTCTTGAATAGGAAAAAATAGAGAAGAAGAAGAAATAGGAAATTGGAAAGGAAAAATGTCCTCATGGAACTTAACATCTCTATTAACAAAAAAGGTTTTTTTTCAAGATTGAACAGTAAGTAGCCTTTTTGAGTGGCAGAATAACCCATGAAGACAGAAGGTATTGCCTTTGGGGAAAACTTATCTTTGTAATTTGGTTGGGTGGCATAACATAAACAACCAAAAACTCTCATATGAGACAAATTGGGAGGTTTACCATGAAGAAGTTCAAAGGGGCTTTTTCCAGCTAAAGAAGAAGAAGGCAACCTATTAATGATATAACAAGCTGTGGTGACACATTCCCCCCAAAACTTAACAGGAACTTGGGAATGAAACTTGAGGGCTCTAGCTACCTCTAACAAATGCTTGTGTTTTCTTTCAGCAATGCCATTTTGCTGAGGAGTATGAATACATGAACTTTGATGAACAATACCCAATGAAGAAAAAAAGGAAGAACACTCATTAGCAAAAAACTCAGAACCATTGTCACTTCTAATGTACTTGATTGTGACTGAAAAATGATTTTTTTACATAGGCAAAGAATTGTTTTAAAGAAATGATTGCATCACTCTTAAGCCTCAACAAAAAAATCCAAGACATCCTTGTGTGATCATCAACAATGGTGAGAAAATATCTATAACCACTATGAGTGGAAATCCTATAGGGTCCCCATAGATCAATATGTACCAAATCAAAAGGTGCAGAAGCTCTAGAAGTACTGTGTGGAAAAGGTAACCTAGATTGTTTAGCAAGAGGACAAATTGAGCATTTAAGGACACTGTCAGCATGAAATTTATGAGATTGTAAATATGGAATTTTATATAAACTAGAGAAAGATGAGTGTCCTAAACGAGCATGCCAAAGTTTTGTATTATTGACAGTTGAAAGATTCATACAATTGGAAGATCCCAAGGCAGGACCACAAGAAAAGAAATTGCAGTGATTAACAGAAAAAATACCATAATCAAAAATTGAAGAACCAAAAAAATACAGCCCACGAGACTCCCTACCAATCCCCTTCATCTTTCCAGTAGAGAGATCCTGTAAAATGCAGAAGTCATGGTAAAATGAAACAGTACAATTAAGCTCTTTGGTCAGCTTAGAAACAGACAAAAGGTTGTGTGCAAAATCTGGAATAAACAGGACATGTTTAAGGGAATTGTTCTGGTTAAGAGGAAAAGAACCTGTATATGCTATGGGGGCTGTTTGACCATTAGGTAAGTATACAAATCTAGAGGCTGATGTGCAAGGAACTGGAGAGACTAGTTTTTGAAAATCTGATAACATATGGTCAGTGGCCCCTAAGTCTAATATCCAATTGAAAGAAAGACTAGTGGTAGCAGAGGTAATACCTGTAGTATTTGCTGCTGCAGCTGTCATTGTATCCACAGAAGGAGCCTTGTTCAAGAGATGAAGTATTTGATCATATTGAGCCTTTGTAAACATAGGAACATTGGAGACAGTATCTGGCTGTGACTCAGAACTTGTCTGATTGTGAGAACCAAGAGGAGACCGAGTAGAGGCCAAAGCAACCTGGCCAGCTTTCTTCTTTGAGAACTTAAAATCGGCAGGAAATCCAATCAACTAGTAGCAATTCTCACGTTTATGCCCACGAACCTTGCAATAGTCACATACACCAGAAAATCTTTTTTTTTATCAGCATTCCCAACAGAGGTTGAGTACAAAGCCGAGACCTCAAAAATTGGAGAAAGGGCAGAAGAGTGAATCCTCTGTGATTCCTCCTGAACCAGCATCAAATACGCCATGTTCACAGTCGGCAATGGCTGCATGAGTAGAATTTGGCTTCGCACAGCAATGTATGTCTCGTTGAGGCCCATGAGAAATTGAAATAATTTCTGCTGTGCATAGTGAGCAATCGTGCGTTGTGAAAGAGCACAATCACAAGGGGAAATTGGAGCCAAGGCTTCATACTCATCCCAAAGTGATTTCAATCGAGTGAAATAGGTTGAGATGGAGGAATCACCTTGATTCAGGAGCACGATTTCTCGGTGAAGAAAGAAGGATCTGGAACCATCAACTTTGGCAAACCTCTCCCTCAAATCCTGCCAAACCGAGGCAGCACTCGATGTGAAAACAATCCCAGCAAAGAGCTCTTTGCTGACTGTATTAAGAATCCAAGACAGGACGAGAGCGTTACACCTCTCCCATTGAGGATGTAAAGACTCATCAAAATCTTCTCGTCGGCAATCACCGGTGACAAAGCCCAATTTATTCTTCGCAAGTAGGGCAATCTTCATCGACCGGCTCCACACACCATAGTTCTCGATGCCGAGAAGCTGTTGCGAAACAAGTAGGAATCTCGGTGCATCGGAGGCATGCAGGAACATCAGATTGTTGAAATCAAATGCTAAATTTTCCATGGCTGCTGTGGAGAAGAGAAAAGGAGAAGAGAAATCCCTAAAATGATTTTGACCAAACAAAGCAGAGTCAAGGAAAAAAATCAGCTGACTCGTGATACCATGTTAAAAGAAGTGTAATTACAGAAAACGTGCTCCATCTCTTTCATTATCTACAAAATAAGTTTACAAGACCAAATCCTTTATATACAACCCACCAACCGTTACAAGCCTAACTAACAATCTAACTAATTAATAACTGCAATCTAAGTAATTAACAACAGCCTAACTAATCAAATAACAGAAAACTAACAAAATCATATCAAGAAGCGGATCTGAATGAAATCAAGAAAATAAGGGAGACCAGCCAACAAGTTATCTGGTTCAAGGATAGGCTTGAAGAAGAAACAAACCGCGCAAAAGCTTTTGAAAGATCGGTTAATAATCTGAGTAGGAACCTGCAACAGAAAATGGAGGACATCCATATATTTGAAAGAAGGGTCAAATCACTGCATGAAGAAAACAAAGAAGAGGTAATACTCCAACAAATTCCAGTTGAAATTTCCCTTCTATGCATTAGGTTGCTACTATATACACATATTGGTGACTGAAACTTGAGTGATGTAATTTCTCAGATTGAATCCCAGGAGAGCTTTTACAAGGATCAAATCAAGATTCTGGAAGCAAGAGTGAAAGAGCTTGATGAAAAGATGAAGGAATTAGGTCCTGCCATGGCCAACCTGCACACTCCATATCAGTACAACAGCAACCTCAGTATTGAAGAGGATTCAAATTTGAAGAATGGAAAGCTCCCAAGCAACTCCAATGAAGATTGAATTTTAAAGATTCAAAATATCAGTTTCAAGACTTTAGAGCAACTCCTGAAGTAATATTAATGAAAGATGTATGATGGACCGAGGGTTACTATGAAAATTTTAAAATTTCTTACAATTTAGATATTTTCTTTATATTTTAATTGATAATCTATTTCCATCTCTTAAAATTTTATATATTCACTTTCTAACATAAATTTTGCATCTATTAACCGTAGAACTAGTTCACATAATTGCAATGGGTACCTTATAATTGTTCTTAAGTTCCCACTAACGACTAACGAAAGAGCTAGGTCTTCTTATATAAATAACTGTAAAACTAAGTCAAGATTTACATATATGATTAGTTTAGTATTGATTTTAAAAATTAGGGTAAAGTATATTAATGGTCATTGAACTTTTCTAAAGCTTGCATTTAGGTCCCCAACTTTTAAAACTTGCAATACAATCCTCCAACATTTAGTCCGTTTGCAATATGGTCCCCGACGTAACCAGGCGTTTGACGCCGTTACACTGCCATTAGTACGTTTGCAATATGTTCACTGAACTTTTCAGACGCTTGCATTTAGGTCCCCCAACTTTTAAAACTTGCAACACGTTCCTCAATTTCATTCTAAACCCCAAATTCCTTTTCGATCTCAAATTTTCTTTTTCGCTTCTCTCTTCTCATTTCCAGCGTAACTTTTCAGTTGGGGATATATGAGAAATTCTAATATAACTTTGAATTCTGTGGAGGTGTTGACTTGAATAAAGGTCCATTGAGAAAAGACCCGACCAAGGGACTATCGGGACCATTAACGATTCAAGGTGTAATGTTAGATACATGTCATCTCAAGTTAAGCATAGATGTTCGATGAAATGCTTGTGAGAAAAAAATGGGGTTAGAAATGCAGAGTTGACAAATACTACTAAGATGAACTAAATATCATTGTTGAAAGTCACCAACAAAGCTAGAATTATTTTGTATAAATGGCATTTATAATTTCTTCTTTTAATCCTTGTGGTTAAAGATTTTCCAACAGATGATCAAATATAATGAAATCTCAAACAACGCCTTCATCTCTCAGTCTCTTTCGCTCACATGCACTCTCATTTGGTTTTTGTTCTTCAGTTTTCTGCCGTGTAAAATTGTAAACCCAAGCAGTGCTCTGTATTTCAGCTTTTTATTTACAAAGAAAAAAATGGAGGAAGAATTGTTGGAACGCAACACCGATTGCGTTATTTCTTAGTCTCTCCCCTCACTTGCAAGAAGGTATTTATTTTCTCTTTTGGGCTATCCAGAATTAAGTTTTTTCTCTTTCGCACTTTCCCATTTTCAACTCGCATTGTGTGTTTTTTATTGAAACTTTTATGTTTATGGAACTATATGTCAAGGATATGGATATTCAGTGATAGTTTTGAACCAAAACCATATAATTTTCTTTTTTCTTCTTAATCAAAACTTTTAGTACTCCTTATGAAAGATATTCAGTCCAACATAATAGAAGTGAAAGATGATCCTAGGCTAAATTTTTTTTTATCTTCTTGTTTGGTTTTTCTTTAAATCAGTGAATTGGTTGTGAGTATCGACATAGTGAAATCGCCAGGCTCAATCCGAGAGACTGCTGGTACTAGTTTACTGGGAATTGTATTGATTTGACCTGTTGTTTTCGGCGTCCTGTGAGCTCATATTCTTTTTAATAAATTCATGTTGATTATGGGACTGATATATCATGAACGAATTGGATTTTTTTTACATGTTTTGGAAATTTTACAGTTGAATATGTATTGAATTATAACTTTAGAAGACAATTATGCATGCACGCAACTCGAAAGGTATTATGACAGGATAATATATTTGGAGCAACTACTTGATATGTTGCCCGTTCATTGCACATTTGCACCTTCATTTATGACATATATATGTTTGTTGCAGTGTCCTCTATGTTTTACAATGTCTTTTATTACTGTCATGCCATGAATTTACAAGAATTATGGGGTCTTATGATTTTAGTTCTGCTATCTGCTTTAGATTCTCATCATGTTTGGCTATTGAGAAACATAGAGCATTAGAAGCAATTATATGTTAAAAGGGTAGCCATTAATGCATTTGCAACTGGTAATGTTGTATTTGGCATCTAATGTCTATCTTAAACAACCCATTTGACACCTTAGCTTTTGAGTGACTATGATCGAGCCTCTTTCCCTTTATTTATTAAGTCCTAATTTTGAATGAGTTATTAATTGATATTATTGGTTTATTTTAGTTATTACTTGGTTGAATGTTGTAGTCCTATGATCTAAAACTCTTTACTATTTTCGCAACCGTTGGATGTGCATGCTCAAGTTCCATCCAAACCTATTGTATTGTCATACCAAAGTGCGATAACTACGAACAAGACAAATTGACCTTATTACTTTTACTTCAACGGTTTATGCAATTAACGTGATAGGTGCACTTTTCATGTTCAAAGTGCGGCAGCCGTTGGATGTGCATACAACAAACCTCAAATTTATATTGAAGTAAACACTGTCAAATAACAAATTCATGTTCAAAATTTCAAAACACTTCAATTACATTCTAAAACCCAAATTCCAAAATACTTTAATTATATTCTAAACCCTAAATTGAAGTATTTTAGAATTTAGAGTTTAAAATATGATTGAATTATTTTAGAATTTGGGATTTAGAGTGAAATTGAGGATTGTATTGTAAGTTTTAAAAGTTGGGGGACCTAAATGTAAGTGCTTTAAAAGTTTAGTGATCATATTACAAACGAACTAAATGTTGGAGGACTGCCACGTCATCTTCTTCTAACGGCAGTGTAACGACGTCAAATGGTTGTTTACGTTGGGGACCATATTGCAAACGGACTAAATGTTGGAGGATTGTATTGCAAGTTTTAAAAGTTGGGGGACTTAAATGCAAGATTTAAAAAAATTCAGTGACCATTATTATACTTTACCCTAAAAATTATTTTTAAAAATGAATTTTTTAGAATTACTTTTAGTCCAAACAAAATATTTTTTGAAAAATAATATTAAAGATGGATAAAAGAATTTACATTTTTTAAGGATTTCCCCTTGATGAAAGAGTTCAATCAGACTAAGGATCTTCAGTGCTAAATTCCTAGAAAAGCTATGCCGCTTCCTCCATTTTGTTAAGAAAAAAAGGGAACCTTGTGGAGTGTAGAGACAGTTAGTAAAGAGTCCTTGATATGATCATGGCACAAACCACACCATCATCTGATCTTGATTTTGTTGATGATTTTTACTACTCGGCACTCTTTGACGAACACGAAGATGAAATCTTTCCTCCGTCCGACGACAAGTATGCCCAGGAGTTGCAGTTTCAAGAGGCTCTCATGTCATCAACAGTCTCTTCGAACAAGGGTAAAAACACCATCTGCAACCCATACATCGCCCATTCTTCATCGCCCATATTAATCCAAGTCATGCCTCTGCCCGGGTCCGTGGATATGGAAACAAAGGGAGCCGGTGAATCCTCCTTAAGTTTCTGTGAGATTTGCGTTGAAAGGAAAGAGAACGATCAGATGTTCACAACGGAAACCTGCAATCACTCTTACTGTTCTGATTGCATCAGCAAGCATGTCTTGACAAGGGTTGAAGAAAGCGTGACCCTTATAAGGTGCCCTGGAGTGAACTGCGGGGCTGTCTTGGAACTCGATGTCTGTAGGCCTCTGCTTCCCGAGGTGGTAATCCATCGATGGGAAGATGCTCTTTGTCAGGAGTTTATTAATGCGTCCCAGAGATTTTACTGTCCTTTCAGGGATTGCTCGGCCTCGTTGCTGAATGACGGAGGGGAAGCTATTAGAGAGTCTGAGTGCCCTTTCTGCCATAGATTGTTTTGTGCACAATGTTATGTGCCATGGCATCCAGGGATCGAATGTGCAGAATTCCAGAGGCTTAATGAGGATGAAAGAGGCAGAGAAGATCTCATGGTGAGGGAACTTGCCAAGCAGCAAAAATGGGCTAGGTGCCCCAAGTGCAAATATTATGTTGAAAGAACAGTAGGTTGCCCACATATGATTTGCAGGTCAGTTAAAATATTCTAGTGATTTATAACACTGATATAGATTATAATGAATGATTTCCCTTGTCTTTGGAATTTGAATGATTAGATGTAGATTTTATCCTTGCGTATACTGGAGTGGGAAAAATTCCCTCGGACTCGTATAGATGTGTTTATACTGGACTCTTGCGAATTGTTGAACTGAAAATGATTCAAAACTTCTTAAAAATAGCATTAGGGGTTGTCCTATGACTGTGGCTGCAGGTGTAAGTTCCAGTTTTGTTATGGTTGCGGAGAACAGTGGAGTGATAATCACGGTGGTTGCTCGAGGAACTAAGAGCACAACAACTCAACAAGACCACAGTAAATGTTATCATCATTTTAGTTGTTTTTAGTCTCTCAGAGAAAATATTTGCATCATATGTGGAGTAAGTTTAATTTGGGCTAATGCTCTAGTTTCTGAAAGATCAGACTATTTGTTCAACTGAATTGCTAGTTATTATTCTAGTATGTGGATGATGTTTATCAATTGTTGTTTGTACTTGATTGATCAAGTTAGTGGTTCATTTTGTGGTAGTCTATTTGTTAAATATACATGCTGAAAATGCACATTAAAACACCAGTATAAAACCATAGAACTGTATCCTAGAAGCTCATGAAAGAAAAAAGTCTTGAAAACAGCAATTTTATTATTTCACTATAGCCAAGTGAAAGAATATACTGCTAAAGTGCCCTTTCATAACAATGCTTAATCGAAAAGGATCTTTGAAGGCATTGATTTGTTAATACAAAATTGGGTAACCTTAAAGAAACCTTTTTATTTAGGTGGGATTAAAAGAGGAGAATAAAGGTGATATTAGCTAAATGAAGAACATGAACTATATGAATCTGTTGGAAATGTATAGTACGGGCGCTCCCTTATGACCTTTTTCAAAATTTCTTTGCTTAAGCTACTGCACTCTGTATGTTGAACTATTTTCTGATCTTTAAATAAAGCAAGCAAATGTAGCTATACTGAGGAAATAGCTTTCTCTCTGCTTAAGTTCCTTTATGTGCTAGTATTTTACCGATCTTACATCTAATATAAGTCTTTGGTCGATTACATGATATTTTTAGGCACTTTTCTCTATTCATAATCTTGGGAGAATTATTAAGATCCAACATTGAGTGTTCAGTCATAAAGTAGAAGTAAGCAAACAGAACGGTGATATGAAGGACATTCCTGTGCAGTGAGTCTCTTTTCAATTTTGTTTGCTCTTGTAGGAAATAGGAATCTGTTTCTTTTAAAGGATATCAGTGCTTTAGTATGCAATATGAGATCTTCCAGTCTAGTAGATTTCACACTTCTATTCACTATCACAGCTATGCGTTTGTCATTGACCTGAACCGTTCTAGGATCAGGTGTGTTGTGTAAAACCAGTAAAGGGTCCCTGTATGAGTGATGAAAGTGGGGTGGGGAACCAAGGTAACCATGATCCTGGCCAAGCGCGCACATGCACACTTGAAAGTCCAAAGCCTGTAACACATTGCATGCCTCTAGCTCTTCGTTCTGCACTGTGGGGTTAACAAGTACAATGGCTTAGGAAGCAGAGCAAACGCTCGCCCGATCAGCAATATGCACCACGGGTGCGTATGTTCTACTTTACCAATGAAATCACTTATATTCCCCTCGCCCCACCATATATATCAATTAATAATTATGAGATTTTCATCTCAATATATAGTAGTGATAGTCAATAAAATTGCGGTCCAAAGTCCATCTCTTTTAGCGACAAAGACAAGATAAATAACTAAATGGGATACTAATGAAAAACGAAATCATTTAGGGTAAATTATATCGTTACTCATTGAACTATACACTTTCTCCTATTTTCCTCACCTAACTTTCAATTTTTTTAATTTGTTCACTGAACTTTACAAATCATTTTGCTCACTCTATCGTTAACTATTTAACGATATTATGACATGGCACAGAAATGGCTTAAGCTTCAAAATGACGTTATTTTGAAAAACTCAAATATACACCAAAACGATGTCGTTTTGAATCCATTATAGAGTCCTTTTTTTTTTCTTTTTCATTTCTTTATTTTTTTTCCCTTTTTCTTTCTCCCCATTTTCTCTTTACTTTGCAACCGGTTGCCGTCGTTGGACACCACACCATTTTCATTCCAACCACCGTCTACCGTCGTAAATGGTGGTCATTCTATCCTAAATTTTATGGGTCGGTTCATCTCGACCTCCTGAGTCCTAATTTGATGATTGTTTCACCGGAAAATGTCCCAAGCCCCATGATTATGGATTTAAACATTTCAGCTTCCTCACTTTCAATCTTAAATTCGTGGACTTCGGAGCAAGTTCCAATAAAATGGAGGTTAAATTCGAACTCGAGGTGTCAAGATGAAGCGACCCATGAGATTTGAGACCAAACGACCACCATCTACGGTGGTTGACGGTGGCTGGCAATGGTATCTGGCCACCTTCAATTTTTTTGTTATTTTATAAATTATTTTATTATTAAAAAAATGATATGTCATCAAAACGTTAGAGAGATAACAGGGGAGTGAGCAAAATGATTCAATTTGTACAGTTGAGTGAGTAAATTAGATAAATTGAAAGTTGAGTGAGGAAAATAGGAGAGAGAGTATAGTTTAGTGAAGAATAATGTAATTTACCCAATTATTTAATTCACGTGTCAGTTTTAGATTGGTGGCAGATGACTTTTGTTCTGTGGTAACTACTTCCCTTTCTTTGGTTTTTAGCTTTCTGGTGGGAAGTGACAGTTTTCTGGTGGCAAGTGACAGTAATCAGATAAAAAAAAATGACCAAGATTTTAGTATAGAAAAATGACATCTTGACAGGCAAGTTACAATTAAAGGCCTTTTTTTAGTAGGACTCGGCTTCATTGTTATTTCCCTTAGTATTATTATTTTCTTTACCTTCCCCGTTTATTTAATTCTAAAATAGAAACTTGCATTTTCAAAAAAAAATAATAATAAAATAGAAACTTGGAAACTAAGTTTCCTGTATTAGAATAGACATTGGATATTATTTATATACAGATGACGAAATTTGGAAAGGGTGAATGGTATAACGAAAAGCACAAGTCAAAGATTCATCTCCGCTCATATTTGTTTATTCTTTTGTTTAATTTGGAAACTAAAGTCAAGTCTCCGTTGCTTAGTTGCTGATAAATTGCTTGGATCGTAATGGACAATTTCCTAGCAAGTTACGTGAAAAGTTAAACCACAAGTGGCATGTTCCTATCAAGTTAGCTTCAAAGCTATGCCATTTATATATACCAATGGTGAAAATCAGGGCTAGTTAAGAACAAGTAAAGAAGATAGGTCCTGTAATTAGGTGCTTGTAACATGGCACATGCTTCGTCTTATTTCAATTCTGCAGGAGAGATTTATTGGTCTGCTCTTTTTGGAAACGAAGTAGAGGATTTGGAAGACTTAGATGCCCAATTGGCTGAAGAGTTGCAGTTTCAAGAAGCAATATTGCTCTCTGCTGAAGAAACCATCTCGTCTTCATCCTCAACCTCAAGGGTGACCAATACACGAGCGAGCTCCTGGGTGCCTGAGCACAAGCCAAGAAGATTTGCAAACAAAGCCGGTGAATCCTCCCGAAGCTACTGTGAGATATGTATTGATAGAAAAGAAAGGCATCAAATGTTCACAATCCCGGGTTGCTCTCACTCATTTTGTGTTGATTGTATTAGCACATACGTAAAGACAAGACTGGAGCAACATATAACCATAATCATGTGCCCGGGGGAGGATTGTGGAGTCTTGTTGGAGCTTGAAGCATGTAGGCCTCGGCTTCCTAAAGAGGCAAATGATCGTTGGGAAGATTTACTATGCGAAGAACTACTTTGCGCAACAGGTGGGAGACTTTACTGTCCTTTCAAAGATTGTTCAGCTTTGTTGCTGAATGATAACCAAGGAGAAGTGATAGCAGAAGCCGAGTGTCCTAACTGCCATAGATTGTTTTGTGTTCAATGTAATGTTCCATGGCATCCAGGGATCAGCTGTGAGGAGTACCAGATGCTGAGTGAGGATGAGAGAGGAAGGGATGATCTAATGGTGAGGAACCTTGCCAAAGAGAAAAAATGGCGCAATTGTCCCAGTTGCCGTTTCATGGTAGAAAGAACCGAAGGTTGCCCGCATATGACTTGCAGGTTAGTCTATGTTTTATACTTGCTTGCTCAGAAAGTAACCTCGATAGGGTAACGCAGGACCCTGATTAGTTTTAAGCTCATTGTTTAGACATTGGTGCAAAGAAATAGCTATAAATGAAGCAGGATTTTAATCGAGTTGGTTCATATGATTACTAGACTCACATTTATGCTTGTGGTTGCAGGTGCAAGTACCAATTTTGTTATGCGTGTGGAGCAAAATGGACTCATGATCATGGCGGTTGCCAGGGAAACTAAGGTAGCATGTATAGAATGACAAGGATAAGAATGTGAAACAGCAGTTGGTGAAATTATTTTCAATCATTGGGAGTGGCTCTTAGCATCCAGATGGATGACAAACAGAATTTGTCCTGAATTTTGGTTTATGCTTTAGCTCTATAAACCAGGAAGCAAACAATTGCATTGTAAAAAATGATCTGGTTCTATATTTGTGACTATGATTTGGCTTTGTTTTACTGCTACCTGAAAGTATTTTTGAAGTGAATCCTGTAAAATTGCCAGATTACTTTCAACAAGTGAAATCTACACTTCTTGAATTCATTACCAGATTTCTTTATGATTATCATTTTCTTGCTGATGTGTTGCAACATAAACTAGATTTTAGTTTTCACCTAGTCATCCAAAAACAACATAAACAAGGATGGCTTTTTCCCCAAACCTAAATCATTAATCAAATCCAAGTTCCACATGAATTATGTCATTCTGATAGCAACCCGCTTATTTATGGACTAATTCATTTAAAATTCAATCAATGCACCACTTCCAGGTATTTACCTAAACTCTCGGCTAAAACTGCTGATCCTTAATTGGTTCATGCTTCTTCCGATTTTCACGTTTGGCTTTGGCTAGGCTGACATGTTCATTTTCCAATATGTTAGTGCTAAGAACAATCCAGTGGAATAATTAATGTAGAATCCAATGCTTGGTTTCTGAAACACCCTAAAAACTTTCCTAATTCACTCACTTTCCATCGCCTTTGTGGGGGCTAATAAATGTGAAACTTTTCTCGTCACTTGGGGCAATATTCCAAAAGATTCTAGTGATGGTTCATGGGCAAATTCTTTCTCGGTGGAAACGAGGAGTGTAAACTTGGTTGACTTGAAAGAAGAAAGTAAAGAACTAATATCGGTCTCTGTCTAATTAATTTTCAACCAAAAGAAAGCATTTTGATTCGCTTTTTCATTGTTTATCGGATATATATATATATATATATATATATATCTTTGAATTCTAATTATCTGAAGATGATGTTGGCATCGCTGATTAGATAAGTTTGGATACAAATAGGCAATTTCCGCTAGGAAAAGTTTGATGCTCGCTTGGCATCTTGATTCTGTTCTATCTTATTCAAATTACAGCAATATGGTTGGTTTCTATTTTTTTATGCCATTTCACGCAAAGCATCCGTATTTTGCTGTTAGCTTTGCATTTTTTTTTATGGAAGGAATCCACCTTTTTATGTTAATTAATATAAAATAATTATTATCTTTATTATTAATACGATTTTATCTTTAACCTATCAATTTAAATTATTAGTAATTGCTTGTTATAAGAATTTTATTTACTTGTCTAATATGAGACTTTTATTCATTTATATACACTTCTAATTATTATATTAAAATCTTAAATAAAGTTTTATTATAAAAATACTTTTAAATATTAAATTAATAATACAATAAAAATATATTAATATGATAATTATAAGATAATATTTGTTTATAATTTTTTTTATTAATCTAGAGTAAATACAAGGTAGTATATGTTCAAATATAACGCTCAACCTTTTGTTTTTGAACACTCACACCACTGACTTTCCTAATGTTTGAACCCGATACCTTAATAAATAACAATAATTTTTTTACCACCGAGGTTATTGGGGTCTGTGTTGTTTATAATTTTTTTAATCTTTGATAATGGGGACAAACATAATATTTTATGTTAGATGACGAATTCATAAAATTTTAAGTATGAGATAACTTATACAATTTTAGGGGTGCGAAAATATATTTTTAATATAAAATACAAAGAAAATGTCTAAAATATATAATAATTAAAAAATTTAAGGGGACGACCGCCCCCGCCCATCCCCTCTAGGTTTGTCCCTTATTAACAATGCATACACCATGTGGATAAACTGTTCGAACTTAGAATTTTAAGAAAAAATAACATTTTTTTTAACCATGATCATTTATGAAATACTAAAATTTATTTATTTATTCATTCTATATGGTTTATTATTATTCTGCATAATGTTGATACAGATTTTAAATTTTATTGAGGATATAATAGCTTTATTCTTACGGGACCTTCTAACCAAAAACATGCAGCCCCATAACACATCTATTTACATTCAAAAAGTGTGACCATAAGAAACATCAAATTTAACTCAACTTATTTTGTTTAATCATTTCTTTATAGAAATATAATAATAAATTTTAATTAATATTCCTTTTTATTTATTTAAAAATTAAAGTTCAAATTAATATGTGATAAGTATAATGTAATATATGTTCAAAGATAACTCTTAATCATTTAATATTGAACGTTCACACCCTTAACATTTATAGTGCTCGAACCCGAAACCTTAAAAAATAACAAACAAAAAAATTCTTTAAAAAATTAAAGTTTGATATCACTAAGTAATTGATTAGGGTCTTATTAGGTATGAAGAGTGATCCACACTTAATAAAGTTTTCTAAAGTGACAGCCATTTTTTATGGTTAATTCCCAAGTTGGAGTTGACGAATTTCGCACCACCACCACATTGATTTATATTGTCATCTATTTTTTATGGTTAATAATGTTATTGTTACAACAATTATGTGATATTAATTTTTTACGGGATTCGAAACGTATTTCCATTTTAATTATTAAAAAATAAAAATGCTTGAGAAAATAAAAAATATATTTTTTAAATGTTTGCATGTTAACTAGTGTGATATTATATGACGTTTTTCTCAAAAAATCACCGGTGACCGGTATATTTATTGATCTAACACCGGTAAGACTATATTTCTCGATCTAACACCCTTTGCAGTAAGGCGCGCCCCCTGCAGCGCGCTATACGCTGATTTGGCGTCACGTGGGGTAAGATGCGCCCCCTGCGACGCGCTTTATGCTGACATGGATACACGTGTGTATGGCGCGGCCCCTGGGGCGCGCCTTACGCCACGTAGGGTATAGCGCGGGTCAGGGGCCGTGCCTGACCTTTATAATTATATATAGCGCGGGTCAAGGGTCGTGCCTGACCTTTATAATTATATATAGCGCGGGGCAGGTACCGCCGCGCCTTGTATAATTGTTAAAACTTTTATCGGCTATAAATACCATTCTCCCCCGGTTAAATTCCTCACATCTCCTCACATCTCTCTTCTCAACTTATAAATTAATACAATAATTCCGTCAACGAGTCAATAATTCTGACAATTTTCTCATATTTTATTCAGAAGTTCGTGCGATTTTTCGTTATAAGGTAATTTTGTGATAATTTTTTTATTATATTTATTGTTTATTATGATTATTTGAAAAAAATATTATACTAATTATTGTCAATTAATTTCTGTGTTTGTAAAATTAGAAAGCGGAAATATACGTCGAAATAGTTTTGCGGTATAAGTAATAATATAAAATTATATTATTTATGTTTATGTGTAAAAAATTTATTCTGTTATATTTTCGTTCATATATTATTTATTTAATCAGCATTGTTTCAGTTGTTTTTTTGCAGATATAATATTACCGCACTTTTAAACTTAAAGAATATCGAGACTTTCAACTATTGTTTATTATGATGATGAAATTCGAGAAGATGAAACAGGTGTTGTTTTCGTATCATATGAGCGTGTTAAAATATCATTGAAGAGAAACATAACTCTTGAGGAGCTGATAACGAAGATTTCGAGGAAGATTCATGTTGGAAGTAATAGAAGAATGTCGTCGTTGCAGCACAGATTTCCAACATCATTGTTGCCATTAACTTATACAGCGTTCGAACTTTTGAACAATGATGATGCTGAAATGATTGTTAAAGCTCAAAGTAATTATTCAGACGCCGATATTGAGATGTATGTAAATTTTATTCAAGTGCGTGCCGTTCGGGGTCAATCATTAAGCTCCCACTATGGGCTGGTTGAACAAATTGACAGCCCGACGACAGTAATGTGTAATGATTTTAATGCCATAATAGAGAGACATTCATCCGCAACTCCTTACGATATATACTGAGGTGGGTCGACGAACAATCCGTATAGCAACATTGCATCCAGTTCAAGGGGAAGACATTCATCTGCAAATCCGTTTGACCTTAATATGGAGATGGCATCGACGTAACCATCTGTACAGTTTTCATTTAACACGATGGCTTCAAGCTCTAGGGGGAGGCATTTGACTGCAGCTTTTTCAATCTGAATGTCGATATGCCTTTTAGTTCAAGGAGAAGGCGTGCAAGTAGTAGGTTCTTCGACCTAAATGTGGAGCGCATGGAGGAACCATCATCTCCACCAGAAAAACTGCTTCGTGAACCTGGTGCGGATGGTATTGAGACTGGACTATTCATTCACCCAGAATCACCGCAATTCAACTCCGATGATGATGAAGTTCCAGGAAATGTGGCACAAACCGACCCTCCTGCACACGTGTATGAAGCTGATTATGGTGCAATGTACGGGCCAGAATTTGCGGATATGCCTCATCTCGGTGACTATGGATATTACTCATCAATAAATAATGGTGAGTTATCTTTAGGTATGGAGTTTTCAAGCAAAGAAGAAGCGGTGATGACTATAAAAAATTAAAATATTTGTAATTCTGTTCAGTTCAGAGTCAATCGATCCACGACCAAAAAATATGTATGTTACTGTGCCCGAAGCGAAAACGGATGCAATTGGATGGTTCGCATATCGAAAAGGAAGAGGAAAAATAACATATGGGAACTAACTGTATACAACTGTCCTCACACATGTTGTGCTGGAGGGGTCAACCAAGATCATCCCAACTTGGACTCTGAAGTGATATGTCAAACCATCATGCCCATAGTAAAAGCAAGCTCTCATATAGTTGTTGTTGTGTTGATTTCAGCTATACAATCGTAGTATGTGTACATTGTCTCCTATAAAAAAGCTTGGTTGGCAAAACAAAATGCCATTGTCAAACTTCATGGCGAATGGGATACATCTTACAACGAACTTCCAGGCTGGTTTAGGCTGGTGCGGAGGTTGAATCTTGGGATAATTGTGGATTTCAAAACCTCCTATTCATACCATAATGATTGAGTTCTCCGCGATCGATGCCAATTCTACCGGGTTTTTTAGACTTACCCACAGTGCGTTAATGCTATCAAATACTGAAAGCCTGTGGTCCAGATCGTCGAGACTTTCTTGTATGGAAAATACACGCAAGTTTTATTATTGGCAGTTGTCCAAGATGACAATCGCAACATTCTTCCAGTTGCTTTTGCTCTTGTCGAAGGAGAAGATACAGATTCTTGGGCTTTTTTC